TTTTTTTTTTAACTTTCACCGACGTGATGCGCCATTTTTTTCTTTTTAAGAAAAAGGACTAGACTTGTTACACATTTTCAAACCAAGATTAAGCCAAAAAAATAAAAAAATCAATCCGCCCATGAGGCCCAGCAAAAGAGGGTAGTGCCTCTTTCTTTGACTATGAAGGCACAAATGTTCATATATGGAACAGGTGTGGAGCAATTACTTGTGTGCCATGCATTTTTAACACTGATGGAGATTGGACAGCGACGTTCATGGCCTTCAATCAACATTTCTGTGGTTATGAGTGCTGCTATAAATGCGTGCCCACTAACCTTGCAAACTTCTCAATTATAAATGTATGATTTTGGTTTGAAAATAACGTAATTGGAGATTTTTGTCTGTAATCTCTTGCAAGTTCTTCAAAAAGGGTAGAGAGTAGTTAAAGAAGGGCACCTTTCGGCCATTCTCGGGTCATCACTTTGATAATAATAAGCAAAGTCACTGATCAGCCTGGTTGCATTTGACCCCCACTAGGATTATGACCCCGCCGGCCCTATGATCTTCTTGTAGACTTATGTTAAATTTCTTGGCTTGGTTCGGAAGTGCAATCCGAATGAGATTTGTTAAAATTTATCATTTTTCTATGTTTTTTTATTTTGATTTATAATAAAAAATAATATAAATTATAAATCTCACAATAATTTAATAAATTTAACAATATAACAATTTAAGTTATTAAATTAAGATAATTATTTGATATTGTATTAAAGATTTAATGGTCAAATGACTACGAGTTTGAATTTCATTATTTCTATTTATTTAATAAAAATTAAACATAAAATATTATAAATACGTGTAAATTTTAAATTTAAAATACTTTTACTTTGAGGGGAATATAAACAAATATAAATTATATTTTAAAATTTTAAATAATTTATTAAACTAATAAATAAAAAAATATTTTAAAAAATAACCACAATCATACTATTCAACACCCCCATCATTCATTATAGAAATTAAATTCGGAGAGCTGCTGTAATCTAACAACCAACGTATATGATCAGATGAGCTTTGCTTTAATTCTAATGAATCAAATTAAGAAACAAAAAAAATTGAAAGATCATTATCTATGCCGACATTTGACGAAATTATTACATTTGGAGATGGTTTTATTGTAAGAATTCTACTTGGTCGGTATTAATATTGTCATTAATAATTCATTGATCCACCAATAATTATATAACAATTCCCTGTTCCAGGTCAAAGAAATAATATTTAATGTATTGATTTTATACTATGATAATAAATTGATGAAATTATAATATCTTTTCATGCATTAAACCGACTTTTATCCGTATGGTAATGTATTTAATCATGGAAACAAAGTAAAAAAAAATGAAACCCGAGTTTTATTTAAATGAGAGGGCACAATCAATAAGCTGTGGACAATTTAAATTTATTATGGAGCATAATTTAAATGAGTGGGCATAAGCAATAAGCTGTGGAGAACTTAAATCAATTGCATGCTGCTTAATTAAGAAAGCGAGTTGTGCTTGAAAAGTATATTAAAAAACCATTGTTTTAAAGTCAATTCAGAACCTATTAATCCATAATCTAAACCCAGATTAAAAATAAAAACATAAAAAAATCTGCTTAATTCAATTAAAAAACCAGATTGACTCAATTACTTAATCAAAACCCTACCCTCGATCCATTGAACATTAATTTAAAAAAATAATAATAAAAAACATTATTTTAATTTTAAATTTTTAAATTTTTAAATTTATGACCCAAATCATCAACTCTGAATAGGATTTTTAAACTATGATTAAAACAATCATTGAATCATATATAGTGCATTGGAGGATTCAGACAAGCAGTAAATTGAGTGCATCATCAAGTGATTTCCAGAATTTATCAACCTATGGTGGGCTCTTCTTCTTGTTAAATAAAAGTTAAAAACATTAGGGTTTAGTTTAATTTGTAAAGACTTTACGAGCCAATATGGGCCGAGAGTTAAATTTGGGCTCTACACCAACCAAAAAAGAGGCCCAAGCCTTCATAATCCCAAAACAACCCCAATAATACCTTTCCATAACCTTCCTCGTCTTGAACACAACACGGGAACCTCAAAAAACCCAAAACCTCACCAAGACAGAACAGAAGCAAAATCCCAAAAAACACAGAAATGTTGAGGTTTCTTGCAAGATCCTCATTGAAAAACCCTAAATGGAATCCAAAACCCATCATTGTTATCCCTCAATCACCACTTCAAAATCACTTCTCTTCAAAATCAGGCAAATCATCAGCTCCAAAAGGAAACAACAACAAAGCCGACAATCAAAAACCCAAAAAGAACCCAAAAAGATCTGGCCTTGATGATTCAAAAACTGCTGTATCTGACACCAAAGAGTCTACTGATGAAAGAGTGCTTCGTGCTCGCCTTCTTGCTCAAGACGAGAAGAACCCTTCACTTAATGCTGGTCCTAATGGGAGACCTTTGTTTACTAATATCAGTTCTCTCTCTCGACTCTCACGCAAAGACACTTGTTCTTACTTCAAATTCGGGTATTTGTTTAGCTGTTAATGTCTTTAGTTAAGTAAATATTGTGGCTTTTTATGTGTTTTTGAATTGGGTTTTGATAATGTTACTGAATTGGGTTCCTTTTAATGTAGCTGAATTGGGTTCATTTTAATGTAACTTCTAATCGTTTTTTTGTTTTTGTTTTGTTGAATGTGATAGATATGTAAAAATGGAGTCATTATGTGTGTTTATTAGGCTGAATTAGGATTTTGTTTTTGTGTTTTGGGATTTGAAGAGAGAAGGAGCTGAACCAGATGTTGCCAGAGGGATTGCCAATGGGGATGGTTAAGGAGTTTGAGGAATCAATGAGGAGTGCTTTGCTTGTGAGACAAAGTTTTCTGGATCTTCGTGATAATTTCAGACGCATTGTTGATCCTCCTTTGCTCTCTTCTGATGGTAAAGGTATGGGTTTTTGTTACTCTAGTTATAATGTTTTGGGTTTGATAAGCCATTGATAGAATGATATCATTAGTATTTGCTCGATTTTGCATATGTTTAAAGCTAATTGGAGATAGTTTTGATTTTTTAGTGATGTGGGTAATTCTAGTTCTTAGTAACGTGATGTCTTCCCATAAAAAGCAACGTCCGACCCTGGGTCAGTGTGTAGTGTGTATATCATTGAAAATATTTTGAGTAGGGCTTCAATGAGTACTCCTATCCCTTATGATTTGACGTGTACAATTAGGTGTGTGGTTGTGGTTAGTAATTATCTGTAAAGTTGCAAAGAGAGAGCTGCTGTTGTTGTGTATTGATAAGATAAATGGTGTGAGAGGTCTGTGATTGCTGTAAGTTGATGAATTTCTTTTTACAGGTCTGAAAGTTAGAAAGCAAATTGTATTAGATGGTCCTGCTAACTGCGGGAAGAGTATCACGCTTGCAATGCTTGTTCATTGGGCTCGTGAAGAAGGTTGGCTGGTGTTTTATGTTCCTAGAGGACGGGATTGGACTCATGGTGGATATTTCTATAAAAACCCAATTACTGGTCTTTGGGATACACCTATTCAGGCAGAAAATGCTCTCAAGGTAAGAATTTTTAACATTTATTTTATCAAATGAATGTGATTGAAGAAGTATGCACAGTATGATCTGCTGAACTGCTATTATCTTTGGTAACAAATTGTTGATATCATGACATTAGTTTTTGCTTGGAAAATGTAAGAAAAACAGGCAGGTCCATATCTTCTTTGTTTTGTTTGCAGTTTATGTAATTGAGTTCCAAAAATCAGTGATCGGCAATCCAAGGTTACTCATGAAGCATGTTTAGGTGCATTCCCCCCCTCCTAAAACAGAAAGATAATCCATGATTCTGATTCTCTTTTTCACAAATGATTCTTCAGAATGTGCGAATGTTCTTGCTGTTAACTTTTTTGTTGTTTTCTTCTCCATTTGTCTTGCTATGCTCAATGTACTGAAATTTTTGTATTTTTCTTACTGTTTATTTCTTTGCAGGATTTTGTAAAATACAATGAATCTCTCTTGAAGCAATTGCCATGCCATATATTTGATCCTGTTCCACTTGGAGAGGGTGCTGGAATTGGATCGTTAAAAGGAGTCGATTCGGTGCCGGTGCCTGAAAGCTCGACTTTGTATGACCTGGTTCAAATAGGAATCAAGCAAACACATGCAGCTGTTGGGGCAGTGCTTCGCTTGAGGAAAGAGTTATCACTTGTGAAGGATATTCCTGTCCTCTTTGCTATTGATCAAGTGAGACAGATTCTAGAATCAAATTCCCACATCATTTCATTTAGTTATTTAAATGAACTAAGTTTAAGAATGCCACCAGAATCATTCCATAGTTATTGATGTATCTTTTTGTAATTGTTGCTATCACTTTTTCTCCAGTATAATAACTGGTTTACGTTCAGCGAGTATGAGGAACCAGTAACTATGCGCTCATGTCGACCAGTACATGCTAGAGAACTTGCAATGGTCAGTATCAAATGCTCATCTTTGTCAAGTCTTTGATTGGTCAGTATTCAAATGCTCATCTTTGTCGTGTTAAGCTCTTCCTGGAAAATTTTACTGTTTACAATGCTCTTTGATTGGTCAGTAACAAATGCTCATCTTTGTCAAGTCCTAAAATTATTCTAAAATCTTTGGGTTGAAATGAGCACATGTATGTTGTGGATGTACCCTTGAAGAGAACTAATATTCTTAGGATGTTGATCATCCTTTTCCATGCAATGAGGATTTGGTCCTTGAGATTTAGTTTTCTTCCACCGTGGACATCTTGCACATACTTTTCTCATTCTTCTGGATAGTTAATTTATTGGAATCAAGGACTGCTGGTTGGAGTTCATTGAACATCACTCCATAACATTCTAAATCTCTTGCAGGTAAATGCTTTTAGGTCTATGATGCATAATAGCATGATGGTGGGTGCCTTTTCTCATTCAACAGCAGTTGGAAAGTTGCGCAAGGATTTGCCAGATGTCCCTTTAGATGCTCGTGTTAATTTACCACGATATGGTTTAGATGAAGCAGCTGCTGTTTGCCATTACTACCTTAGGTATGTAAAGGAATGCATATGATTGCCGGGTTGACTATATCAGTGATGAAGTACACTTTCATTCAACTGGCTGGATTCTTATAGATAATGCAGAACTTGCCAAATACTTTCTCCTTGATGCATTTCTGACTAGGTTTTATTTGTTAACCTTGGCAGGCAAAGATTATTGCCTCGAGAAGCATTCTCAGAGGAAAGCTGGAAGAAGATATATTATTTATCAAATGGAAATGGAGCAGAAATGAGAGTGCTACTTCCTTTAATGCAGTGACCCATTGAAGATGCTATCCTTGGACAAATTTAAACAGAGTTTGGCACAATTGCCGTTCAATCTTGTGGTCGTTGGTTTCCGAGCCGCATGGCACTTTCTGCATCCTAAAAGTGCGATTAGCAAAACACAGTTCCCTGCGTTTTGAATCCTTTATGTGATAACAGCAGTTAGAGTCGCAAAGTGAGAATTTGACAATTTTTGCCACAATATTGGCTTGCTTGGTTCAGACAACTCTTGCAGCTCAAGCATGTACGGATCAGTTACACATTTTGTAGTTCTGATTGATTGTAGGAGATTGATTTCTTGTGATAACTGATAATAGTTCTCATTTTCCAAGCCAAAATTATATGGCCCTTTCTTCTAGATTTTAGTTTAATGATGGTTGCAAGTTTATATCGCTACTTGATGGTATGCAATCAGTTGGAAAGTTGCGTAAGTTTATATCACCATTATGACCTTTTTGACCAAGTGGACTAGGTAGCCAGTTGTTCTATTTTTGAGCCCAGGTTACACGTTGGAATTGAGACTTGAGAGGTGCGCGCACACGCAAAGAAATAACATATGCATTCCCGTGAGTATGGAACGATGTACAATGTAAATTCTCAGGTCAATTGTTGCTGTCCGTATAAGAAAATTATAGCCAAAGATACTATCAAGCAATGACATACAGATCCAGGAAATAAGATTAACAGAAATTTACTCCGCCGGGCATAAATCTGGCGAAACTCGTATATGAGACTGGTCTGCATCTAATCAAACGTGATATTAGAAACCCGATATCAACTTCCCAGTTGGAAAAAAAAGAAGGAACTTCCAAGACGAGATTAAGCTGAATTTAGGCCATAATCCATAGCTGGTGAGCTTTATGACGACCATAACCAGAAGGAAACCATTTTAACAGGATTAAACAATGATTGCATTCATAAATAGTTGGAAAACGGATGGAATGTAATCAGTTCAATGTAGATGAAAAATGCATAATTAAGTTTTCTTGCCAACGTTTGAAGTGGGCAAAGAACAAAGCTAGAAAAGGAAGACAGCACAAAACAATCTGAGTTTTTTGCAACTATCATTTACAGCAATTGTTGATGATGTTCATTTCACTCATCAGGCAATTCATTGATTATGGCCTCGATAGATCGTTCATAAATGATCTGATCTTTGGAAGGGGAAACCTTTCACCTTACCTGCGCTACAATGGAATCGCCTCGATAGATCGTTCATAAATGATCTTTGGAAGGGGAAACCTTTCACCTTAAAGTCAGGTTTTGACTCTCAAGAAACCTCTCCAACGAGAAAGACCTCTAGCTCAGTTCTTGCAAGCTTTTTCACAGTCCTTTTCACTCTGAAGATCAAGTTCTTGTCCCTATTATCACCACCCTTGAAACCTTGCCAAAAACCTTTCTGCAACCAGGAGATAAATCAAGTTGCTTCTCACATCCCATGGAAGAATAAGCACACAGAATCTGCAACCAATGACATGAAGCAATAACCTCATCATCTTATATCAACAAGAGAGACAGAAAAACAAACTTGAGATCTATTGAAAGGATCAGGTTATAACTTAAGTCTCTTCGATTCTTGCTTATTATTATATTATCAAGGAGTGAGCACCTGTTTTTTCGGTTTCATGGTTTTGAAATCAAACTGGAAATAATAATTCTTTTTTTGAAAGAGTTTTACAATTGGAAATCTTAAGAAAAAACCAACGTTCATATGTATTTTAAACATGAAGGACTAATTTATAAGTGTATCTCAAATCTAAGGACAAAACAATGATTAATTTGTAAAACCATGACATTAGAGATTTGGCTAGTGCATCAGCTGGCCCTGTCTCCTTGTTAATTTCGTGGCCGGCTAATTGTTGGTCCACATCGGCTCAACATCCTTGAACAACCGTATCTACACGAAAAAACAGACTGGAATACATCGAGCGGAGATGGTGGTTCTGTATTTAATTTCCGGCCCGACAGCGATCTTCACCTGTAAAAGGAATATAGTTGAAACAAATGAAGAACAATAGTTGACTTAATATCTTTGTACGAAGATTTATTTGCGATTCTATTTTAACAATCTCAGAGAAGAATTTGACGGCCCCTGGAAACCAGCAGGAATTAATAAGCTGGAAGATTTGTTAGCTGTCTAACTCAACGTCATCGTTGAGAATAATTGAGTGTCGGACTTAATATATGGGCAATAATTCAATATTTTCATTTAATAAAAAAATTAAAAATAAATAAAATATATTTGTCAATTATATTTCAAGATTGACCCACATAATAAAATACCTCAAATATAAAATAAATTAAGATTGCTCAAGACTTTTCTTATCATTCTCACACAAAAAATTATTTCTTAAATATTTTATTTATAATTTTACCCCATAACCCTGTTCATTTTTAACAGGTTACGAGCACATCAAATCATTTTTGACGTCTTGCTAATTTGCAACCTTACAGCATATTATCCTGCTTTCCTTCCCCTGATCAAGCTCATGCTGTGCATCAATGAGCTCGTGTATCCTTTTATAATTTCAACCCCCATGATTGGATAGTTTATCTTTGCTTAATGTTTGATATGGTTTTTGCAAATTGATTTGAGTGGTTTTTTAAATTCTTATTTAAAAACAAAAGGTTAGAAATAACTTTTGTTAAAAAAATTGAGTTTGAATTTTAAATTAATCAAAAATTAAATTTTTTAACTTATGACATATAATTACTTATGTTATGTTTCTTTTTTTTTTAAAAAAAATTGTTTTGAGTAATATTTACCAAGCATGTTTCTATTGAAAATTATTTTAACTTCTATTATAAATTATTTATCAGAAACAAAATCAAAAGCTGGTTTGAAGATTTTAATCACTAAATTGGATTTTTCTCTTGAACAAAATAATGGCTTCCTTTAATTTATCTTCACGTACGGCATAGTGTGTGGAAATTAGCAAAGAATGTTTTTCATAATCAATAGATTTCATTAAAACATAAACATGAGAGGGAATAAAAGAATTGTTAGGGTGTTAGAAATAATGAATGTTCTTCAAAGTATTTTTTTTGTTTGAAAATATATTAAATTAATATTATTTTATTTTTTAAAATTATTTTTGATATCAATACATTACAACCATTTGAAAATATTAAAAAATAATAATTTTAAGTAAAATTTTAAAATTTTCTCATATATATAATGATGTTTGCAACTTTCCAAACTGCATCAAAACCTATGTTAAACCTAAATTAAAAAACAAAGAAGCATAACGATGACAACACAAAAACAAATGATGCAGCTTTATGTTCATTCTATAAATTCTTCTATACTAGAGACTCCAAGCAATTATTACCAACAATGGCAGCAACACAAGATGAAAAAAAAGGAATTGGAATCAATTCCAACAGAGTTATAAGAAGTAAATAAAGCAGGAAGATCAGAGCCATGCATGCAACACAATCACAACTTATGATCACATCTTGTTATGCAAACTATCAGCTAAAAAGTAATTTTGTAAAGAAGTTGATCCAATTATCGAAGACTGTAGCCACGAAGGGCAGTTGTTTGTGCTAAGTTCTGGGAGGGTTGTGGTCTAAGGGGTGAGTGGTCTTGCTAGGTGCCATGGATGGTTCTGTCCCTTCTACCCACAAATTATCAGCCATTTGTTCTGAACATACATGTTAATTTCCCAAGGTCAGATTTTTCCACTGATTTGTGCACCTGAAATATCCCTTCTTCCTAGGCATATTGTATTATCCGTCGAGTTCAAGTTCTTGACTTTTGTACATGTCATTGCTTCTACTCCAGGAAATTAAATATCAATTAATTCACAGTGAGGCCCTGATTTGTCTCTCAGTTGGCCTTAGAGGGAATCAATTAATTCAATAAGTCACCTTGGCAAATGGGTTTCAGTTCTCTCTCCCGTGTATACACAGGACAGGCATCCCTTTCTTCCACGTCAAGATTTTTCCACCATTGGTTTGGACTAGTGCATGGGCATAGGAATGTTAGTCAAGTAAAATATTATTGGTTGTGAGTTTTTCACTGGAGTCCATCTATGATAAAATATGTTTAGGGTTGAATAATTATTTGAGAGGGAGGATGCTATTTGAAGATGATTAATTTTTCATTCTTGATTTATTTAAAAGCAGACCATCTTTTTATTATTTTAGCTAGATGTATAACCCTCATAACAGGTTTTAGATGTACTATAAGCTTTTCTCCTCATTCAAGAGATTGACTTCATAATTTGACTCAATCACCTTCACTCATATTTATTGTGAGAGTACTCTCATGGCAGATCACTTGGCTAAACAGAGAATGCGAAGATCAACTTACTTTATTGCCTGGTTTTGAATCATCCAACTGTTATGTGGGTCCTCTTTGTTTTAGTCCTGATTGTGACTCCTGTGGAAATTATGGGATGTTGTTAAGGGGGTAATTCTTGATGTTATTGCTTTATATAAATTCGACTGATCTAGTTTCTCTGTTTTTCTGTGTGGAGGCGATGCTGCTCTTCAGCTTGTTAAGATGCTAAAGTTTGATTTCTTCAGAGGCCATGGCCGACGCCAGCAAGAGCTAAGGAGTAATCTGGTTTCACAACATACCAATATCCTGCATTCTCTTTCATTTCTTTGGAGAATATATACATGAGTAGGCCTAGGGAGGGGTTGATGTTTCAAGTTGTGTGTTGCCCTGTCTGAAGACCTTAATATTGATTTGGCTAGGAAGAGGAAATTAGAATCAGTAACGTACGAGGTAAAAGTTTGGTTTTATGGAAATATTGCTTGGCATGTCTAGTTTGTGTGCCGACAAAGTTATTGTTTGTTTGTTTTTTTTTTGTTATATATTGTTATTTAATCCTAGCATTTTTATTTTATTTTTATAATTTTAGTTAAATTATTTCATTACCCTTGTCATTCCTTATATTTTTTTTTTGAAGTGTTCAATTATTCATAATATTTTTTATGATATAAGTTTATTTAATTATTTTTAACATTTAAGCTATGATTTTTACAGGGTTAAATTAATTAAAAAGTTTAGTAAATATAATCGATTAAATATGTTGTTTTTGTTTTTTTTAATGATTTTTTATTTACTTGAATAGATGATTTTTTTTGTTATTTTTAATGATTTTTTATTTACTTGAATAGCTATTAATTTCCACGGTTTCAAATGATATTTTTATTTTTTAATGTAAAAAAATAAATATTTAGCTAAATAATTGCACCGTTTCAAATGACATTTTTATTTTTTAATGTAAAAAAATAAATTGGAGCAGCCTCGGTGTGTTTATATATATTAACTATTATTTTTTATTGATTAGTAAATACTAATAGATAATGAATATTTATTGAATACCTGAAATTTAATAAATAATTTATAACTTTTTATTTAATAAATAATAAGTAGATTATGAATATCTAAAATGTCATCCGAATAAATGCCTCGGCTTTTCTTACAGTTTCCTGGTAAAGTAAACTAATAGCTCCATTAATGAACTCGTTCACTAATGGCAAAGCTACCACTGGCCTGATGATGATGGCCTGAGGATGATAAATCACTAAGGTCCCATCCTAACACACACACACACACACAGTCCTCTGTGTATAACTCTCCATGTCCTTTTAATTACCCCTCCCGGTGCCGCCCTTTAAACAAGAAAATCAGCATGCAGTATGGGCTGCTGAAGATGTATATGATCATGAACTGATCGGTGCCGACTGCATTTTGTTTGCTTCAGGATCTTGTTGACTTTTGTTGCTGACCTTGTGTCCCTGCATTCAAGAATGGTACTTCATCTATTAGGCAGGAAAACATCAACATAATTGTTCCCCTAATGGCCACCCAGAGGTATTATTGGGACGTCACGAGAATGGAGGAAAGGGGATTTTTACACGTTTTTGGAGGTGGGATTTTGTTGTGGAGTTTTTTTTTTTTAGAAAATAAATGTTTTTTGAGTGATTTTTGATTATTTAGTTTAAAATTTTTATTTTTTCTGTTTAGTGTTCTTAGATTTTTCTCTGTTTTTTTAGATATTGATCTTCCTTTTCAATATGTTAGACTCTTCTAAGTTTCTCTATTTTTTTTAAAAAATAACTCTTTTTATTCAATATTATTAGTGTTATTTAGTTTTTTTTTTATATAAAAAATTATAATAATTTTTAAGCAAATAGTTGTACCAATTAAAAAAATCAAATATTGTGTTTTTGGGTTTTAAGAATTTTAATTTATAACAAACTCAGTTTTTCTTACTCGAATTTTATTCTTAATTTCTGACTCCGTTAAATCTGAGTCACAATCTCACAAGTTATTGTCTAGAGCCATCCTGGCAGGCTCGTAAACTCAGTATGTGGGCATGCATCAGAGGTGAGTCTACTGTGTACAGTTAGAAGGGCTATAGTAATTTGCTATGATTTGATTCATGAATCTTCGTCATTTAAGGCATTAAATTAAGAAAATGAAGCTTGTCACGATCATTGTCAGTGACCTCTCTCCAATAGGATACTTCTAGCAGGTTCTTGAACTTGAGGCTGTCATCCTGCCATGGATGCTCTGCTAGGATTAATTAATCAAACTCCTGGTTAACTGTAACCAATATCTGGCTTGCATGTTATTTGCTTCACTTGTAGTTGATGTCTGTAACACACTTATATCGCGCTGAACTTAATTATTTAAATAGAAAAAATAGATTTTTGATATCTAATTCTTTGACGGATGAATGATCTTATTTAAGGAGTTGCCATCTAATATTATAGTTATTAGGAACTTTAACTAGTCAACAAAGATTCTAATGGTCCGAGACTGGTTATATAAAAGGGAAGATATTATCACCCCTTAAACGTCCTACCTAAGACAGGCTGCATTACTGATCTTTATCCTCAATTGCTAACATTTTTTTTGTTTGGTTTATACTATGATGGTTTTGCGTGTAATATTCCTGACTCTGGCGTCAGTGAATATTTAACTACAGATATTTCCAACTCTGGCACTGGTAAATATCACGTAGCTATAAAAATAAAATAAATTTAAATCAGTTATTTTTTTATTCCCGACTCTGGCGTCATTGAATAAACAAATCAAATAAATTTATTTTTACGCATCAAATAAAATTATTTTTACGCATCACAAAAAAATTTAAATCAGTATTTTTATTCCCGACTCTGGCGTCAGTGAACAAATGAAAAAAAAATAAATTTATTTTTTATGCATGTACATATTTTTTTATTTTTTCTAGCTAAATAAAATAAAACAACGAATAAAAAATAATATAAATTTAAACCGGTATTTTTATTCCTGACTCTGGCGTCAGTGAATAAACCAATAAATTTACATTATTTTTTATTCATGC